AATAGTTCTATGTTATGTCATATGTCATCATATACTACAGTCAGTAAGTTACTGGCTCAGCATTGACACTATTGCGTATCAGTAGTAATACTACTGTAGTAGCAGTGTACACTAGTAGTATTTTTATATTTCCAAATGATATTAGAAACTTGTACAATAGACCAACATTTAAATTTCATTAATTTAAAAATCATCATTTCGATATCGATTTAAGCTTAATTAGTTAGACTTTGATAGAGTTGATGATATTTTTTCTTGATTTTATACTCATTTATGGTAAGAGACAGTAATAGGTTGTCAGCATTTACGATAAGAGAAATTTCCCTGAAATTCCTCAATATAAAAATGACGTCATAAGATTATATTAAATGTTGGCGATCTTGCGGCGTTCACGTTGGATTTGTAATGGCGCGGCCACGCGATTACCGTCCAAGCGTTTTCCGCGATATTATTGCTTCGAGGGCACTGGTCGAAAAAAATGAGATTTCCTTTGCTTTAATTTTTATTGAATAGACCTTAAATGTAGGCGAACGTATTTTACAATGGATACGGAAAGGATCTTAGCGATAGCGCGGTAATATCTTTCCACGAGACGAGACGCATGCAGTCAACGAGACAGTTAGAGCGGCCAAAATGACCTGATTGTTAGATCGATTACGCGCGACGCATGCATCGCTTAACAATCGACATCTCGTGGATTAATTGATTCTTTGTCGATGTGATTAGACGATATGACTAGACATCGTAAACGATAGGGAACCGGATACCGAACACGCCGCCCGCCTTGAAAGGGTTGACTTTCAATGTGACGTACAAGCATGAGTTCGTTAGCGTAACATAAAACGCGAATTGCTCTGATACGATTTAATATCATATTTAGTCATTGCACTGAAAATCAACGAATTAACATCTAAGTACGCAAGCGATATAATAAGTGAGAAACAATATAATAAATCATTCTTATTTGAAGGTAAAAAGAAGCGCGAGATACGATATAATCAGAAGGTTAATAGCTAAAGATACTTAAATCTAAATGTTTGATAACGCATAGACTAGGTTTAAATTGGTAATATTGATAGTTTAGACAGTGACCTCACATAAGAACTCTTGACAGTTGCGATGTGCGCAATGCCGTCGAGACCAGGATGAACCTCCTGGACCCGTCCACTGAAGCTAGGTTCGGTTGCCTTATGAGCACAAGTTGATTGGTTGACAGCTAAGTTCCCTTGTTAGCCATCCATTTGGTTCGGACTTGAATGAAGGTATTCATTACTCCACCTGCACCAAAAATGCTGCCGGATTTGTTCTAAGCGTTGCTACCGTAGTAGTCTATTTTCGTTGACGTCGCTCAAGACAACAGGAAGACCATTCAAAGTCGTGCAAACCAAGAAATGTCCCGGACTTAGGTACGCTAAGGGTCGGCGCTTAATGAGAGGGGACGCGAATTGAGGATCGCCTCAATTTCATAGAGGGTCGTTTACATTTCCTCGAATGTAAAATGAGCCTTATCCACGATCCGAGTCATGTAGTATTTGGCAGATTTTACGGCTGCCTCCCATAAACCTCCAAAATGAAGTGCATTAGGGACGAAGCTCCATGAAATTTCTAATTCGCGAAATTAAGAAAATTTTTAATCTCTTACTGGACTTGTGGATCATTATACATGTCATATAATTCTTGAATTTGTCTGTGAGCGCCCACGAAGGTGGTCCCGTTATCTGAATACATGTGCGCGGGCCTACCCCTACGCGAAATTAATTGCTTAAAAGTAATAAAGGCTTCGGACGTAAGGTCACTTACTAACTCTACATGGATCGCCTTCGTGATGAAGCACATAAAAAGCGAAATGTACGCCTTGTGACTCCGCAAGTTTCTTTCTCTCATGTAACAAGAGCGGCCTGGCATAGTCTACACCGCAGCGAGAGAAAGATCTAGAGACGTTAACTCGGCTGGCCGGTAATGAGCCCATTAAGGTCTCTGATTGATTAGGTTTAGCCCTAAAACAGGTTACACATTTTGTATTATTCCACGTATAGTGGATCGCAATGATAGCGGCCAAAAACGATGGCGCACGTAAGCCATTGTGGCTTACAACCCGCGTGTAAATTTCGTGTGTGTTCACGCTCTATAATACGCTGAGTTAATATGTGTTTGCGTGGCAGGAGAATTGGATGTCACGCAATGAACGCGAGATTTGAATTTTTTAACCTCCCGCCAACTCGCATTAGTTCGCTTTCATCTAAGAACGGAGATAGCGACAAAATATCATTGGAAGCGTTTACAATTTCGTTCTTGATTAGCGCTTGATATTCGCGATAAAATGCTCGCTGTTGCATCGTTCTGCAAATACAATTTAAAGCGGTAAATGTTTTAACGGGGGACGAAAGAAGATACCGTGTGCTCCCAGTGAGCCTTGGATAATTTTAAACAATACGCTATGATGCGACATATTTTATTTAAATTGGAATACTTATTTAGCAAGTCATCGATGATGCAAGGATGGAAAGTGGAAGCGGATTTTCCTTTGTTCGGGAAGATCATTGTCTAAACGCGGGAAGATACTGGGCGGCCAGTGTTTTTTATCCCATTTTAGAAATTCGGGGCCATTCCACCACCTCTCAGCATTGATTATGTTATAGGGATTTAGCCCTCGCGACAATATATCGGAGGATGCGACATGACGCCAGTGTTTGATTTCTGATCTTAGGCGCTGAATTTCACCCACTCTGTTTGCCACAAAAACTGACCATTGCCGCGAGGGGGAGGTTACCCCAAGTTTAATGCAATTGTTAAGTCCGACCATAGGTAAGTCGGGCATTGCGAGAACTCCAAAGACTCTCTAACCTTGTTGATTAAGCGCGCCAATAGTAAGGCGGCCGATAGCTCTAATCGCGGGAGCGAGACGGTCTTGAGCGGTGCGACGCGAGATTTTGAGCACAGTAACTTGGAGTGATGGTCGTTGATATCGAGCTTGGCGCGAATGTATATGCAGGCTCCCAACGCGCGTTGGCTGGCATCGCAAAATCCGTGCACTTCCACGATTGATTGATGGACATTGAGTTTAACGCATCGAGGAATTCTTAGTTGATTCAAATCATTCATCTGTGTTCTGAAGGCAATTTAACGAGTGTGGATGTTCTGAGGAACGGACTCATCCCATTGGATGGCCAATTGCCACAAATCTTGCAAGATGAGTTTTGCAATCACAATGGACCCAGAAGGCCCAGAGGATCGAATAATTTAGCGACCTCGGAAAGTATGACCCGTTTTGATACAACGTGAGTTCCTGTATCAAGTTTACAGAGAAATTGAAACGTATCCTGGAACTGATTCCATTGCATGCCCAGAATACATGAGTCCGTTATCTCTGATAATGACTGGCATACGGTCTCGATTGTCTATCTCCAATAGTTCAGAGCAGTTCGAGGTCTATTTGCTTAACTCGAATGCTCCTAATTTTAATAGCTGAATAGTTTCATTGCGGATTAGTTTTAATTCGTCGACTGTATCCGCTCCGGTGAGCATGTCATCGACATAAAAATCTCGAAGGACGCATGCTGAACCGCGAGTGAATTGATGAGCGTTCTGCTCAGCCAAATGCTTAAAGCATCTGGTGGCCAGAAATGACGCGAAAGCTGTACCGTAGGTGACGGTAGTGAGTTCGTACGTATCGACATTAGCAGAGAGATCGTCGCGCCAGAGAATTCTCTACAGGCGCGCCAGGGACGAATGCACTAAAATCTGCTGATACATTTTTATGATGTCAACGGTGATGACATAATTGAAAAAACAGAAGCCCATTAAAATTGAGATCAAATCTTATTGAATGGTAGGTTTCACTAGAAGCGCATCGTTTAACGATATGCCGGAACTGCTGTGGCAAGATGCATCGAATACAATACGGATTTTCGACGCTTGCCTGACCGTTTTGAAGACGCAATGGTGGAGAAGATAAAATGATATTGTTTCTTCCGCAATGGGTGGCTCCATGCGTCGCATGTGTCCCAGCGATAAATATTCGTCGAGAGACGCCGCATATTGAATTTTAAGCGTAGGATTGCGCTTGAAACGTCTCTCGATGCCCCTCAATCGCTTGAGAGCAGACTCACGCGAATCGCCAATGTTATTTAACATTTGCCCTTTGATTGAAAGCTTGACTGTATATCTACTCTGAGAATTTTGAGACACGTTATCTAAAAAGTGACGGTCGCAAATGTCTTCCTCTATTGTGTAATTGTCCGGTTGCGCGGAGATGTCGTCCATTTGCCAGGCACGACTGTTCGTGTAATTCCGCATTGGTTATGGGCGCGTGAAACGAGTGAACTTTGAGGCGGTCGATATGGTGCTGCCCAAACGACCTGCCAAAATCCAGTTCAGTCGCGTTTTTGAAGAGTTGGGTGCTTGTCTGAAGACTTAACTTGACCAATGCATATCAGAATCCAAAACAACTCCGCTCCGATTAAAAGATATCCGACGATGTGAAATCACAGATCAGCTAAACGAATGTTGTGCGGAAAATTATTAAATTTGTCCCGCGCCGAAGGAACCGCCGGAATTTTATCAATAATCTGATCAGCAACGATGCATTCGATAGCCGCGGTGTACGAGTTGAGTTACGATTATAATTTGATTCTAACGTGATTGGACAAGGTTACCGTGTCATTGACGCCGGAGATCGAGACATTTAATGGACGCGTTTCTAAATCGAGAGCTTCCACAAATTTCTTGGCTACGAAGTTCGCTTGCGATCCGCAATCCAACAAGGCTCGACACGCCCTGCGCAAGCCGTCGCTGTCGCAGACGAGCACAACCGCAATCGAAAGCATGACTTGGTTCGCTATTAAATGATTTGCTAGAATGGAGGGAAGAGTTGCCTTAGGTGCAACTTCCTTATCGGTATTGTTAATCGATGGGTCCGCAGCTGAGGGCATATGAAGCAGTGTATTGTGCTTTGTCTGGCAGAACTTGCATTGACCGGAAGTGCATTTATTTGATGCATGAGAAAAGGAGCAAACAATTGACGCAAAGTTTGCGACTGCGAATTTCCGCGGCCCTTTGTGATACTGGAAGTGTCACGAAGTTTTTGCAATAATAAATAACGTGTTCTCATTGACAGAAGTTGCATTTAAGTTTAACGGTAGCCGCGCACGATGATGACCGTTTAACATTTGGCTGCGATTTTGCTTCGACCTTCTTTGCGAAAATGAAGCTAGCCCTTGTGGTGGGCTCGAGTACCTGACATTGATGAGCGATAAAATCTAACAGCTGTTTAAGCGACAGCAGCTCGTTGCCCATTAAGGAGGTTCGTCACTCGCGTAACGTGAGTGAGTCAAGTTTAGAGGTTAGAAGGGGAACGAGAAGATCATTCCAATGCATCGTGGGACGCTTCATGCCTGAAGGAAGAAATGCAAATGTTTCGTGGCGCTGTCAGAGAGTCTTCTAAGATCAATTGCATTTTCCCTTGTCATAGTCGGCAAATCGAATATGGCATTGACGTGAGTTTGAACAATCACGCGCTTGTTGTCATATCGTTCCCTGAGAATTAACTACGCGACATCGTAATTAGCGTCCGACAATTCTAATAAACTGATTACAGCGCTCGTCGGTGAGTGACGCTCGTAGACACTGAAATCTTTGCGTATTTAAAAGCGAGGTGTTAGAATGGATAATCGAGTTGAATGTATCGAAAAATGGGAACCATTCATCATATTTGCCGTAAAATGTCGGTAAATTTAGCTTAGGCAGCCAAATGTGCGTACTACTATCTGAGTCGCGAACACTTGAAGAAGACGGAGAAAAGATGGATTCGTTCGCAATGTCGGCGAAGGGGAAATAAGCTCGCGGATTCTACCGAAAAACGCATAAAACGCTTCCTCCAAGCCGTCTCGATCGCAGTTTTCGGACTCATCTAATGATTCTAGACGCGATTGCACATCGTTATATTCCGCCCAATAGTGCTCGAGTTTCGCCTTCTGCTTTTCGAGTTGAGCCACTATTGACGAGTTAATGGCGGCGATTGATTCTACATAAGTTCTAATACGTGTACATGATGCCTTTATGGTCGCGCTTAAGTATCGTCACTTCTGATTGGTCGACCATCTTGAATGCAAATGCGAACGCGTACACGCAACGGACGCGGCGGAGAGAACTTGGTTGGCAACGGAGACAATGGTCTTCCTTACCTTGTTACGCTCGCAATCCTAGGAGAGAATGCGATAGATGCTAGATGCCTTCCAGTCGAACGTTGTTGGACGGAAACGTTCCTCTCGTAGAAGTTGCGCCGTTGAGAGATGACTTCCGTTGCACGTCATCTAGATTGGGCCTTGTTTTCCGCAGTCGACAGGATTTCGCTTGCAAAATGTTGATTCTCCGTCAGGATATGATACGTAAATGCGTCTCTGATGCTTAGACGCGGGCCTTGCGACTGCTTTATAAATTGTGTGTTGCCGCTACACTAATTGCTGCTACTGCGACGTTTGTCCTATCTCGATGAGATACCCTTGTCTGACTACCAAATTGCTGCTCGCCATTTCACTGAGACCAAATACTTGAGAGAATCCGGCTCAAAGGACCAAAGAAATGTTGGCGATCTTGCGGCGTTCACGTTAGATTTGTAATGGCGCGGCCATGCGATCACTGTCCAAGCGTTTCTCGCGGTGTTATTACTTCGAGGGCACTTAGTCGAGAAAAATGAAATTTTCTCTGCTTTTCAAATTTTTATTGAATAGACCTCAAACGCGGGCGAAAGTGTTTTACAATGGATACGGAAAGGATCTTAGCGGTAGCGCGGTAATATCTTTCTACGAGACGAGACGCGTGCAGTCGATGAGACAAGCGCAATGCTTAACAATCGACATCTCGTGGATTGATCGATTCTTTGTCGATGTGATTAGACGATATGACTAGACGCCGTAAACGATAGGGATACCGAACATTAAATAAACTACAAAGTACAAATAAAAGTAATGTTATTCAGTAGGAGTGGAACAATAAAATAAGATACAAAGAATTATTAGAAGAAAAGATGTAGACTTTATCGACAATTGTAAAAAATGTTGCTATTCGTATAAAAAAATTCCACAATTTTTTAAAATCTATTAGGTGTACAACTTTGCTTCCGCCGTTTTTTTCCGAAATTCGAGGCTTTATTGTAAAACACTGGTTACATTTATGATTCAAAGTATTGTCCATCGCTGGCCACTACTTTCTCCCATCTTTCGGGTAGCGTACGAATCCCGCGTCGAAAAAACTGGTCATCTTTTGAGGCTATCTATCCACGAATCGATCCAATTTTTTACTTCTTCATAAGACCGGAAGTGCTGGTCAGCCAGGCCGTGTGCCATTGATCGAAACAAGTGATAGTCAGAGGAAGCAACGTCTGGAGAATACGGCGGGTGGGGTAGGACTTCCCATTTCAACGTTTCCAAGTATGTCTTGACCACTTTCGCAACACAGGGTCGAGCATTGTCATGCTGCAATCACTTTATCGTGTCTCTCGTTGTATTGCGGCCGTTTGTCTTTCAATGCTCGGCTCAAACGCATCAATTGCGTTCGATCGCCTGTGATTGTTTCAGTCGGTTTTAACAGTTCATAATACACTACGCCGAGCTGGTCCCACCAAATACAGAGCATGACCTTGGACGTCAAAATCACCGTTCTTGAAGCGTTGAAACCACTCACGACACATTCTTTCACTAATAGCGGCCTCACCATAAGTATTTGAGAGCATTCGATGAGCCTCAGCCGCAGATTTCTTCATATTGAAGCAAAAAATTAAAACCTCCCACAAATAACGAGAATTTGGTTCGTAAACTGACATTTTCAATCGAGAATAACTTTATGATACAGACATAAATCGACTAATGTTTCTATGGGGTTATGTTGACAGATGCCCAAGTTTATTGTATGACGTCTATGATCTATTTATTTCGACCATCATATATTGATACATTTAGCTTTGTAATCTATTTAAAAATAATAAAATATTAATATTGATAAGAGTAATAATTCTAAGGTATAATAACAGAATAATCTAAACATTCCAAAACGTCATTAGATATTGATCGATTGGACACTGCTCGATTGGACACAATGCGAAATATAATGTCCTTAGATTTCAATTAAAAATTATTTCATTGCATGTCAAAATCACGACCAAATTGATATCGATCGATTGGACATTAATCGATTGAACACTCGTTTAGACACCAATCGATTGAATACCGATCGATTCGACACTTACCCTCCTACTAAGGGATGTACGGCGTCTATAATTGTATTATTATAAAAGGAAAGATTCAATATCAACTTCATAACGCGAAATAGATCGGTATTTATAGTCGATTCTTATATTTAAGACTGTCTCAAGTACAATCTTAAGATGTTATAAGTCAATTCAAGGACTATTAACATCTTAAGATAGTTTTAATATTTAAGATAGTTTTAAAATAAAAACGGACTATGAATAGTCCCATGTTTCATGTTTCACAATTGTAATCCTTGAATTTCATATGATATCCATAGACAGAGAGGAGATTTAGAGAGAGAGACACCAACATCCAACTGCATATGCACAAACCATATTATCCTTTCCACGGTTTCGGCTTTCTACACGAAGCGACTTTCACCCCACATTCCTCCCCTCAAGATGATCAATCGATTGTTGTTCAAATGATCGGTATCCAAACGACCGGTATCTAATCAATCGAATTGCGCGGTATTTATATAAAATGAAATAATTGAAATCTAAATTACATGGCGTTATGTACAGTTTTTTTTTCTAAGACAGATATTTCACTTCGTGTTCAATCGAGCAATATCTAATCGATTGGTGTCCATCCAATCCATTTGATCATTGTCGAATTGTTCGATGTCCAATGATTGAACGTATCCAATTGAGCGTGTCAAATCGAGTGATGTTCAATCATACTGTATCCAATTGTGTGTCACTTTATTTTATAGCCCATTTTTTTGTTGAAAGAGAAAGAGAGATTTTGTTCACACATCAATAAAACATATATTTCAATCGAATATAAGTATCAAGCCCGTTCTATAATACGTTGTCATAAGCCGTAAGAATTGATTAAGGCCTGTTACACAATAGGATCGCAAACCGTAATCCGTAAGAAATTAACTAATCATAGTTATTTTCATATTCAACTCTGATTGGCCAATTTTTTACGACTTATGACAGCTTGCTATTATAGGATAAGCATAATCACAGTTGAATGTAAGAAGAATATGACTGTGATAGGTTCATTCTTACGACTTATGGTTCACGATATTGACATACGATG